ACACCTCTGGATTAGTGCTGTCAATTGTTTTTTAAAAAAAGAACTAATTAATCACACATTTTTCTGAAATTGCGATTAATCCCACCTAACATTAAAGTTTTTAAATATACTTTATATTGCAATAATTTAGCATCCAATCTTCGAATTAATGTAGAAACAACATAAAGACAGTACATTTTTTATATTTATTTGTAATATTTTATGACTGAAGGTATCACTGATACCAATACTACTGATGTCTCTATGAAATAGTTTTTTCCCTAATATTTAACCATTGACTATAGCTATTCAACATTACAGTGTAATCGAGAGCTATCAATTTTAACATTTATTAGACTTAAAAAAAATCTAATTTAAGTGAACTTAAAACAATCTTCAAATAAACCCATTATAATAAATGTCGTATTTAGCTACCTGTTCCCTTCAACAAGTAGGAAATATACAGAAAGTGACTAAAGTTATCAAACATTCAATTCTAAATTAAAAATAGATGAATCCTAAAAGCCACAAAAGTTGATTTCTTCTTTTTTCACAGCACAGCAGCTGGGTTATTAGGTTATTTTAGGTGCCACTACTGAACATGACGCGGATCTGACATGCATTGTATTTTCTCGCAACTCTTTACCTTTTCTGACCCACTTCAGCTCGTTAAGTCTCTACTAAAGAGCTAATGAGTTGAATCGGGTGTGTTAGATGAGGAAGACAGTGCGGAGCTGCTTCAGGACAGTTTTAAAAACCACTGCATTTCAGAGACATGTTCTTAAGTGCAACTAAATACTTACAAGCATGCGCAATTTTAAGTAAGCTATAATTGCCTTTTTGGTAACTTCATGACTTAACTGACGACATAACGATGACATTGCATGCTTGTTTCATTTGCGCTTTAAAGGGGTCATATGATGCTGCTAAAAATAACATTATTTTGTGTATGTGGTGTAATGAAATGTGTTTATGCGGTTTAAAGTAAAAAAAAACACATTATTTTCCACATACTGTACATTATTGTTTCTCCTCTATGCCCCGCCTTTCTGAAATGTGTCGATTTTTACAAAGCTCATCGGTCTGAAAAAGTGAGGTGTGCTCTGATTGGCCAGCTATCCAGTGCGTTGTGATTGGCCAAATACCTCAAGCGCGAGACGGAAATGTTACGCCCCTCACATACTGTTGATGCCGTGTCCGGCCGGAGCGACGAGACAAAAACATTAAAACCCATTACAAACGAGGCATTTGTTGCATCCAGTGGGGACATAATTACTGATTATAATGACTTATACTGGCTTTTTACGCATTGCGTTGCATTGCATTGCGCCGCATAAACATAAAACGCTGTCTGCATTTGTGATCGTAGAAATTACAAACAACAAGTGCTACTCTACACTGCCCAAAACTCGTGTTTGAATCATCAGTGGCAACGAAAAACACAGCGGCCTACCGTGAGGGGAAGCCCCGGCTTAGCGTGTGCTGAGGCCGGGATAGAGTGAGCTGAGGCGGGCTGGACTCCGCTTTATCCACGGTGAAAGTTGATGTATTCCCTCAGCGACCAGCACAGATCAGCTCTAGGCATGACGAAGCGGATATCGTCCTCTTTTGGAAGACCAAACAAAGTAGTTTCGCTTTCACAACGAAAAACACAGCGGCCTAGCATGAGCGAAAGCCCCGGCTTAGCGTGAGCTGAAGCCGGGCAAGAGTGAGCTGAGGCGGCGGGG